CCACTGAAAACATTTGGTACCGCTTCCCTGGACATCCAGTGGCCGAAGGAAATTAGTAATGGCAAGTGGCTGCTTTATTTGATGAAAATAGATTCCAAAGGATTGGAAAAAGTCTCCTGTCAACCTGAAAGTGAAATTAATAGTCTGCATGTTGTGGTATGTTACCCTCTATGTCTTCTGTTCATGACTTAGTGAAACATGAAAGCACTGCAGCATGTGGCAGTAGGGCCTTGCCTCCAGAACTTGCCTCCAGAAGGGTTTTTTGTTTGTCTTAAGCAGTTCACAAGCACAGTACAGGAATAATGTATCAAGGGTTTAGCTTATTAGGAGACTTCAGCTAATGAGGACAGTGTGCTTAAGGACTGAGAATCTGTCATCATGGTGGCTGGTTTTGCGATGGGCACTGCTTTCATAAGCTCTTACAGGATACAATCACTGATTGCTTTCACAAATTTCATCAGCATTATTGAAATCTCTTCGCAATAAACAGCAAACATCCCCCAGCCCAGGGGAATTCCATGTGCTTTTATTAACAAGAAAGAAGCCAGCTTGCATTTAGATTTCCTTATTTACAACAAATAAGAAAAAATTTCTCAACCAAGTGTCAGGCCTGCTGAAGTGCTATATCTAGGTGTGATTTTCTTTTCCCCCCATATAATCTTAAGATCATTTTGGAGGAGTTCTAATTTCCACCATTAAAACTGCATGCACGTAAGCCCATCAGTTAATGAACTTTCACTGCAAGTGTAATTAATATACAGTAAAAAAAAAATCATCTACTGACTCTAGCAGAATCTTACTCTTTTAGCATAGTAACATTAATACTCTTTATATAGAACAAAAATTGAAGTAACATCAAAGGCTTTATAAATCTAAACCCTTGACCTATTAAAGAAAGTAATCAGTTGACCTCTAGGTAATCTCACATTCTAGTAGTTGTCCTGACTACTATTAGCCATAAATGTGGGTAAGTAGGGATATATAATGATGTCTCTCATGCTGATCTTGGAACAATAAAATACAGTACTTGTTTCTCTGGTTGTATGGGGTCAGCATTAAGAGATACCTATGATAGATAAACTGCTAAAAATTTTTCCTTCTTTTAGGAATCCCATAACTCAAGACAGAAACGTGAGGTTGCAGAGAAGCAGACTACAGACAGCAAAACACTTTCTTTATTCTCAGAAAGAAAATACAAGACCTTGGTAAGCATATTGCTCCAATGTAGTCTTGTCAGATATCACCCTCTGCACTTGTAAGAGGGCTTTTCTGAGTTTGCCAGGGTGAAAGAAGGTACTGCTTTGCTTTTGTCTTAAATCCAAGTATCAGTTCTTCTAAAATTTCCCCATTTACATTATTTGCTGATGAAAGAGAAATGGGAAAGAATTTCTCCATATTAAAATAAATAGGTAATTGCATCTTCATTGTATTTTCCAGTTGCTGTCAGTGCAAACAGAGTTTGGTTCCTGCACATAAATATGCTGTATATAATCCAATTTTCAATCTCAGGGTTAAACAGTTTGTGAGGATATGTTTTTATTTACATATATAAACTTGTAATTGCAGGACTGCAATGTGAATGCACGCTGTGTGGACATAAGATGTCCCCTGAAGGGTTTAGACAGCAAGGCATCTATAGTGCTACGTTCCAGGCTGTGGAACAGTACTTTCTTAGAAGTAAGTCCCCTTACGTGCCCTTTCTGGAAGGTCACAGCTGTTTCCTGTTCCGTGTCTAATTTCTGTATTTTTTGTAACAGGAATACTCCAAGATGAATTATCTGGACATTCTTGTTAGGGCTTCAATCAGTGTTCCTGCTGCAGCTAAGAACGTTAAGCTCACAAATGAAGTTGCTCAGGTACGTTCAACATTTAATGCTAACCCTATGTTGTGGTTGTGGTGTTTCCAGCTTAAATCAGAAGTTGGGGGGGCGGGGGGACGGACCCAAACCAAACCAAACCAAACTAAACTGCATATAACAACCACCACTGAGCCAACCAAAGAAAACCCACTGAAAAACTACAACCAGACAAAACGGAAACCCCCCACATTTTAAAAGTAGCTAAAAGCTTAACTTCTTAACCAAGTTTTGAATTATCTATTGTTTTTACCTTGTTTTGGGTTGGATAAGTTCACTACCATATTTAAATAACACCAGCAGGAACTTTTTCTTCAAAAACATTTTGTAGGTGAGAGAGAGAAGGCATCTTGTTAGAGATAAGACTATATAAACTGTAACAGTATATTAAACATGGACCCTTCTGACATGCTCTTTCCATCTTAATGCATTTCTCTTCTTTAGGTGCGTGTTACTGTCTTTCCTGCAAAACCAGTAGCCCTTTATACAGGAGTACCTTGGTGGATCATCGCAGTGGCTATTTTTGCTGGCATATTGATGCTTGCACTGTTGGTATTCTTACTATGGAAGGTGAGTTCTTATTCATCTAATTATATTTCCTGGTCTACAACTGACAAGACAGCATAATAATTAAGCAAATTATTAAGTTCGTATTTGGGTCTCAAAATAGAGCAAACTGCCCAAACCGTATACTGCTTTTGAGTCTCAGTTTTGCAACATTTGGAATTAAAATGATTACATGGGAAGACTTGTTACAAAATTTTTCAGCTTCCACATCCTCACAAGATGAAGTATTTTGAGCTCTGTGCAAAACTTGAATCAGAGCCTATATTTACTTTGATGTGGATGGATACAGCTAATGGGAGCTTCTGCTGTTAGGTGTAAAATTTCATGTGAACTACTTACAAATGTTTTAGCAGGGCTTTGTTCCCAGTAGCATTAGAAATGCCATTAAACTGACAGTATCACAAAAGACAATTTGTAAAATAAAAAGTTAAGTACCTATTTTTCAACTACCTTTGGCATTTTTACAACCAGTTGTGGTTCCACGTATAACAGGGCAGTCCTTTTAGTTTTTAAGAGACATAAGCAGTTAGTACGTGCTGTTACAGGATAGCACAAGGTTACTTAGCCTTTTCTTTCTATCTGTCACTTACTTTCTTCTGGAGAAACTGCAGCAATTAGCTTTACTGAGGAGTTCCTATTTGTTGCAAATTACTTCTCACAGGATAGTTCTGATTTCCTGTGCAGTAGTCCACAACGTATTTCAGTAGAGACTTCTTTCTGTTCTTCACTGCCAGCTGTGGACCTACTTTATAGTATCTTTTCTTAAAAACAAAACAACCAACCAAACACAAACAACAGCTGCATTATAAATTTAACAAAGTGCTTCTAAACCAGTATATTTTTACCTCAGGTTATTCTGTTGTTCTGCAGATTTAGTCCAAGAAGTTCTCAGATCTAGAAGCTGCTGAGACCTTGTGATTTAGTTTTTTTTCTTCTGGAGGGGGTGGGGAAAGGAGGACTGCAAAGGGGTAATTTAGGTAATTCAGAGGTAATTTAAATCAGTTTTAACAGGTTTGACTTCTTCCAGTCCACAAAAATTGACTAAATACCTTGCTTCCTTGTAGTGTGGTTTCTTCAAGAGAAATAAGAAAGATCATTACGATGCCACATATCACAAGGCTGAGATCCATGCTCAGCCATCTGATAAAGAGAGGCTTACTTCTGATGCATAGTATTGATCTACTTCTGTAATTGGTAATTGATGGTATTTTTTAATGTTTAACTGTGGCACATGCTCTGGTTGTTGCGGTGGCTAACTATGGAGCTTTTATTGCATATGTTCTATTAACTTTTGGATTTCAAACTATCATACTTGCTTGCTCATTCTGTTGATAGATTTTTTTGCTTTTGGTGCACGTGAACACACACAGGCATTTACCTTGGTCTAAAAAGCTTCTTGTTTATTTCTTTAGCAAATGTTGATTTCTTGCAATGGTTTTTAGTCTTTAATTTATGTTTTAGCAGTACACCTAAGTTTTTTAAGTTTGAGAGATGGTAATCAACACTGCAGGGTTAATATACAAAGCTAAGACTGTGGACAACAGATAAACTTGCTTTACTAATCTTTAATGCATGCTAATAGGTACATGTTGCTTATAAAGAAAAGGGGTTTCATAATGAAAATTGCTATGGAAACATCTTTTTCTTCAGTTCTAAGGTACACTTTTCTAGGAACACACTTTCTTTTGCTGAAGCTACTAGATGCATGGTAGTTTATGCTCCTAGCAACCTTTATTCAACTTGAGATATTACATGCATGTACACTATATTAATAAGTGATGCTTGGGATGAGGGAGTGGGGAGGAGTAATTAACTAAAATATGTCATATAAATGTTTAATGAAATCTTAACTAAGCAGTGGCTAAAGATTTGGCCTATGTCTCAGTGCAGTTTTTTAAATTCAGTCCCATGTAGGTTCTAGTATTTTTTAAAAAACAAACCAGCAACAACAACAAAAAACCTCACAACAAAAACCGAGCAACAACCAGACAAAAAGAAAAACCCCAGCACCACAAATACCATGAACAAAACCGCTTTAGTATTTTCCCCTCTAGTAGGTACCTAATGACAGCTGGATGGCACAATGTCTCTTAACCTTGACATCAGTGACCCCTGAACATGTGAAGTTCAGTATCTACCCATCATCATCTTCGGAACTCTGTGGCCATAACTCCATTTTGTTTTGAAAATTAATTTTAATCTATTCATCAATATTTAAAATCAGTTTTTACAATGGCTTTGAATAAAAACTTGCAGGGCACAAAAACTGCACTAGGTTTCACGCAGTGAAGAGACTTGTGTCATGGCACGTTACAGAACTCTCCAATTATGGCTTTTTTCTTTTTATCCTATGGCTAGCTCAGCAAGAGCCATGTTCTAATACTGTGAATGGGTAGTTAATTCAGGTGACTATAGTTGAGATGGTGCTTTGAAAAACAAGGCCCTCATGTAGCTTTTCTTGAAGGTCCTGGAAGTCTTTGTCTTTAAAATATGCCACTGTACAAGACGATACCACCTCCGATTCAGGAGAAGCAAGCTTTCCTGAACTACATCTGTAATTGTTTTCAATTTTCTTACCCATGCAGAACTTATCTCTGTAATCGTAGTACTTCGGCAACAACTTAAATCTAATCTGTTCTTTTTCTTCTCTGCTGTAGTGCGGGTTCTTCCAGCGTTCCAGGTACGAAGACAGTGTCCCCCGGTATCATGCTGTAAGAATTCGAAAAGAAGAGCGACACATCAAAGATGGGAAATACAAAGAGCTTGAGACAAAACAATGGTTCACAAAATGGAATGAAAATGAAAGTTATTCTTAGTGAAAAATTCTTCTCATCACAAAGTTCAGAGAGAAGTTAAAGTTTTATTAATGGAATATTGATGGAGTTAGACCTATGAACACTATTGACATTCACCATTTGATTGTAGATATTACTACTTATATTGAGGCTTTTGTTTGCACAGTTAACATTGCTTCAAAAGACTTTACTTGCATTATTTAATTTCCAGACTGCCTCTTTCCCCGCTTCAAATCTAACTCTCACTTCAGAAGATGCTGTGTTGATTTGGGGTCTATTCTGCAAAATACGCAAAACCACTACAACAGACCTCTTCCTGTGATCCTAATCTCCTTCCTAGGGATGCAAGGAATGGACAGTTAAGGTCAAGATAAGTTCTTCATCCTTCCCTCAGTGCATAGTCCATTGTAAACACACAGTTGCCTTAACACACCTTGTGCAAGTACACTTTGAAGACCTGCCAATCTACTTTAAACTTTGCCTACTGCAGTAGTTAGGGCTTAACAAAAAGCATCGTCTTTAAATTACATGTGCAATAGGTCATTTTGCTCAAATTGTGTGACTCTTGGTCACAACAAATACACACAGGTTTGTTTTGTTGTTTGTTGTTTTTTTTTTCTTGAGGTTTTTTTTTTTTTTTTAAGAGAGGCTTGAGTATTAGATGTACTTTTTGTATATACAAATTTTAGTCATTTTTGTATTTATTTTTGTTATAAATCATTGTCTTTGACTAACTGTTAGGCCAAAGACTTAACTGAACTTTCAAGTCCACTGTGTTTTTGAACTTCAGAGTATGAGACCTGAGGCTATCACTGCATTTTAATAAGTCACTGAAGGTGCCAATGCTTTCTAAAATTGTAAATATTTATTCCAGTGATGTGTATGGGGGCTTTTTTGTGATACATGTAACTTCATGTAATAGGAATCATCAGGTCTTGTAACATGATCTGTATATTACTTCAGACTATTGAACAGTCTGGACACCAAGCAGAAGAAAGGGTTCTAGATACAGTTTTATACTTAACTGCAAGTGCGAGGTTCTCTGGAAACAGCTTTCCAGCTTCATAAGAAATTCTTGTTTGGCCAAGGCATTGACTACTGCAGCTGTCACATAGCACTTGAAGGAGGCTCTACATGCCCAACTTACCTTAACTAATGGGATCTGAGCTGATCCATGTTGAGACTACTGAATTGTCTTGAATACCTGAATGTTGATAAAAGTAGAATCACAATGTTGTATTTGTCAGTAATCTAGTTATTGTAACATAACTGCTAAAACTATTTAAAGAGTTTAGTTTTTTACCCATGTTCTAAAGCTTTGGTACTATTTAAGAACAAAGATTTAGTTCACAGTTGTTTATTCCATGTGAAACAGAATTCTGCTCAAAAAGTATGCATGTTAAGTGCTAGTAATTGAACTATGCAAAAACCTCTTGGTACTTTTTCCCCTCATAGGGTAAAAGCCTGCTAGGAGGGCAGCTGTCAAGTGTCTTATTTTTACTAACTTTGAACGTACCTTCTTTAAGGTGTGGTCACCTAATAAGTTATTAGAAAAAGTGCATTAATTTAATAGACTCTTCTTCCTTCCATTAGATAATCTCAGTATGTTGTGACGTTATGAACACTTACATGTGTATTTATCTGTTACCTGGTTTTTGAGCTTTTATTATTCTAGCCTACTTGCTGAAAGGCTTAGCAGCATCAGAAGCCAGGCTAGTCAGAGCTAAGCCTGACAAATAGCCTTGGATTTAAAAGCAGGTTGTGTCCCTCACCTATGAACATGAACATTTTAGCAGCATTAAAACTGCAAATTCTTGGAAAGTCCTGTCATTGGTCTACATTTCTCTCAAGACTTTTCTTGTACCAGGTAGCAATGCTACATTCAAAATTACCTGTGGATAGTTGTATAGAAGTGTGAAATAAAATTCCTTTTTTTTTTTTTAATTAAACATTGGTTTGGTAGTAGTGATTTCTTACCATAATTATCTGAGGTAGCCATAGCCAAGTTCACTAGAAGAGTAAGGTGGAAGCTGCAAGCTGTAACAAATCGTCTCACACTCAATACTGCCATGACTGGGGGTGGCCTCCCCCATGCAAAGGACAGATAAGGCAGCTGCAGGAGATAACACACAATCTCATGCTCACAGACTCCCTGATGGCTGCTGCAGTTCCCAGCATTAGGATAAAGCAGGCTCTGGTAAAGCACCAAGTGTCAGCTCCCATAGGGCAGAGCTACCCCCTCCTCTCCACACTTCACCTCTGCTGCCCAGGGTACTTAGAATGCATGTGGTCTTCTAAAAGCTCCCTGGCCAGACAGGTGTTTCCGTAACTAGGAAAAATGGATGCATCCCCCAAAATTAGTCAAGGACACATACCTATCTGTAATTAGCAGTGGAAGTTTGATACTGATAGTCACTTACATGATTGCAGGATACAGCTTCTACTACACCAAAAACAACCCCCCAAAACGAAGACACTCCGTGGCCCCAAAACCAGGAAAGCCAAAAAGATGCAGAGAAACAACACAGGAAACCTGTGGCTTATCTCCATTTTTGAGACACTAACCCTCAAGAGGATGCTGGGAGAACAGATACATAGCTGATACGAGGAAGTACAGCACAAATATATTAGATTTTATATATGCTATATAGTACTAGATATAGTATATACTACATACATAGTACAGCACTGTGTAGGTAAATGTATGCACATTGTATATATATGCATACATAAAACATACTATATTTTATATTTATTTAGTGTTTGTGTGTAGTAGGGTGTGTGTGTATGTGTAAATCTATATATAAAATAAACACACTACATAGCCTAAATAGAACTGTAGTAAATTGCAGTATCTTCACATATATTTAACTGTCACAGCACAGGACCCATACCTTCTGAGAGAAGCTTTCAGTAGAAGGGACTATCACAGCATCATTTCAGTCATCACCTCTTGCAGAAGTTATATGTGGAAGAGGAGACAGAACAGGGTGCCTGTACACAAAATCAGCATGTAATGTGAAGAGCAGCTTTTGGAAGCAGCACCAGAATACCAATCCCCACTTGAAACTCCCACCTTACAATGCTGTCTCTGCAGCAGTGTCTTAACTAAAATGAACAGACTACACAGAACCAGAAGGCTGCTTAGATACAACCAGCTGAAGTAACTTCTTCCAGCACAGATTAGGCAACAGGACAGTGTCAGCAGCCGGTTTGCAAAACCCAGGAGAATAAACTGTGATGAAACAACTTGGTGGTGCTCTAAGCCAGATCAGGCACATGTGCGTGTCAACTTGCCAAACAATGCACTCATGGTTGACAAGAAGAATGTGGGCAGTGCTGCTGCATAAGCAGTTGCTTCAGTTTTTATGCCAGTTCTTGGTCACCTTTAAATGTCCATTTGTCTCCCCCGGTTGTGGATTTGTAATTAAAACTATACACCTTTTATAACCTCCTCATAGCCTTGCTGGAGTCCTAACCATGATCCTGGTGAGAAAAACACAGCAATTGCTTACCTTGAAAAACTGACACAGAAATCTGCCTTAATGCCCCAGTCAGGGTGTGACACTGTTGCTGTACAGGGCCTGCCATTTGCATTTTCCACAAGCAAAGCTAGATCCTGTTCCTCAATTTTCTAGCTCTTGAGATGTCCTTGTTGCTGCTTACCTACTGCAGAAAAACATACAGCCCCTCTTACCACTGATACACAGCATTAACTACTTATTTCCTTCTCACCTCTCAGCGTCTTCAGGGGATAGGGGAGGAAGGGACAGAAAAGTCAAATACTTTTGCCAGGAGTGTATGAAATAATGCACAGCTGCTAAGAGGATTAAAAGAAATGCCTGTGGGGTATTGCCTGGTTTCTTGCAGTGGAGGAGACCAACAGCTGACACAGCAGAGAAATTTTATCATTGCCAATGGCTTATGAGACAAGCCTGTGGCTGATTCCAAGCTTAGCAGGGAGAAACAGCATAAAAACTGCCATCCTGGACTAGTTCACAGACCCACCTGAATCAGCATCCTGACTGATGACGGCCAAGAGTTAAGCAGCATGATGGTGACACTGTGCTGTTCCTGTTCCCACAGAACATTAGTGCTCAACTTCAGTAGCTATGTAGTGTAGTCCTATGGAAGAAGTCATCCATGATAATAATAAAATTTCTCCAACTGCCTTCTGATCTTTAGTCACAAAGTTGAACATGGAAAGAATTCACAAACTCCAAAGTTCAGTTATATACTGAATTAAAATAGATGACCCCATACGTATGTTCTTGAATCTACTACAATTTGATAACTCACACAGAAACCTCTTCATATTTCTGACCAACTTTGCTGCCATTTTTGTATCTTTTTATTTATATTCCTAAAAAAAGATACCAAAGCCACATCAAGCCAATCCTAAGAATTTTCTAGCATGTCAAACCCCTAGGAATAGTCATGACAAGCCTTTGTGCAGATTAAGTACACAAGCAGAAGAGAGACATGGACAGGACAACCAGATGACTGTGCAGGCACCATAGCAAGGCATATAAACCACTAAAAGAGTGTATCCATATTCTATGGATATCCATACTTAAGGTTTTTTCTTTATGATGTGCCCATTTTGGAGGAAAGGGAGGAAAAGAAATAAGTACCAGTACATGCAACAACCAAGAACAGTGACTTCCAGTAAGGGGCTATTTATAGTATTGCCTTAACAAACCAACAGCTCTTTCTGGCATACCCTGCAAGACTGCTTCCAACTGCCTTATGAAAGCTTACATTGAAAACCAAAAATAATGAAAAAATTAAAGGTGTAATGCTTAGGTTCAAATTAACTGCTATGTTTTCGATTATCTTACAGTCTAATTTGTTCTGTCCCAGTTAAATTATGGATCCAAATATAATTTCAGGAATACCAATAAGCAGGGCTATGAGTAGAAAAATGCCAGATGATAAAAATAATGCATTTATCCTTTTTTGCTTGTGTAAGATTTTACAGACTTTGGCACATCAGAGCTCAGGCTCATGTCACACTGGGTCAGATCAGAGTTTACATGGATCAGTCTCTGATCAGTAGTTTGAACAAGACCAAGACAATGCCTTTAGGTAAACAGAGGTTTGTTCTGCTCTAAACACATCATTTAAATAAATAGCCACAATTCCTTGTCCACAGTTACTGCTCACCCACCATGACTTTCCCTGAGAAAAGTGCTCACTGTTTACATTATTGAGAATGTGCTTACAAAGCACAATGCTTTATTTAGCCTCTGACAGCCCTTGCTACATCTTCTGCTTGGGGACTGATACCCAAACGTAACTTCAGGCAGTACGCCACTTTTTAAGGTATGCTGTTAAGCTGAAACATCAGGCATCAGGACAGTAACATACAGGCATAAAAGATGAAGCCAACTCAGAACCATCGTAATAAATTGCAACAATTTACAATATCCAACCTACTGCTTGTAGGCACTGTTTTAAAATAGTGCTGGTTCACAACTGAGAGGCCATTCTAAAACGGTTTTAAAGCACAAAATTTGTAATTAGAGTCTCAGCTACAAAACTCAAGTTACTGTTTGGTGCTTCTGGGGTGACCTACAAGCAGCAATACAGCAAAACCTGTCAGTAACCTGTACTGCGTAGAAGACTTGCAGAGACGGATAAGCTGTTGGTTCACCCCATTAGCCACCATTCCCCAGCCAGAACAAAACAAGCCCTTCATTTCTTGGCACAAGATGGAGGTACAGCCTTATTACAGATCAGATGAAGCAGTCCAATCCTGAATTACTGTTTCACTTTGACACACTGTCACTGGAGGCAGACTAGCTCAATGTTTTCTGTATTTCAATGCAACAGTAAAAAAAACCCCAACCCCTGAATTCATTATGGTATCTTCATCTCTCTAATGGGAGGCTCCAAGCAAGTCAACAGAGGGCTGAACAGATGAATGTGCCAGAAACAGCAAGCAGTTCCTACTCTAGTGAAGACCATCTATTCTCACTGTCAGGTCATGGACAACTCACAGGTACAAAACACAAGGCACGTTTAAAAGAAACCAAGCAACACATAAGAGTTGATTTCATATGATAAACTTATGGGGCAAATACAAGTATCCACAATAAAAGCAGCAAATTATATAGAACCAGATCTTCTATTGTACCATATTGTATACAATTTGGACTACAGGATTCAGTATCTACACTGAAGTACGCTTATAATCACTCTTAACTGCTTTTTTTTAATGTTCTATATATTTCTACCTGAATAGCTCAAGAAACTATTCAATACTACTGTTTAGTACTTCACATACTGCATTAGTATCCTAACAGCCAACTGATATAGTGTGACATACGATTCAAGTACTCTTAAACCAATAAAGCCATGTATTGTGCTAGCTGACCGATCGGGAGTGTATCTGTGCGGGCAGAAGCCCTATTTTTCCCCTATATTTTTCTGTTTCTTTTCCTCGTAGCCGAGACACATTATCCCTCCCCTCCTTTCTACCACCCGCTCGCTGC